TTAATTTGAGCAGTTGTTCAGAATTCTGGCTTTAAAACTCTAAGAGAGATCTTCAGGGCTCATGCCTTTCCCATTACTAGGAATTTGTGTCAGCTAATAACAAGATTCCTTCTCTGCTGACTGAACTAACTTAATACCAAAATACTTGAGAGTAAGCTTTTTCATTGACTTAGCAACTAATTTATGGTGAAGGGGTTTAACAATTCTGTCAAAGATACCCAAGTTAACGCATACTTGTTCTTTACTTTGGCTCTTCAAAAAACCAGCATCTTGATACAAAAGCTAAAATGGTGTATGTGGGGAGGTGAAAAGCAACAGAAGACAGGTCTTTCAGAACTTGAAGAAACAAGAATTTTTGGTTTTAATGGTGAATAAAGGCTGGTGAAAGAAACCTCTTGTTTTGGGTACTACTTTGTCTACCAATGTAGACCAAAAATTATTTTAGAAGCGAATACCTCTGTGGGAATAGGGTAATCACTAATCAAAAGTGGGAAGAAGACTGTCATGAGGAGTGGTCTTACAGTCAAATATAGGAAAAGAAAATTAATTCATCCTACTTTAGTCTTGGGGTACAACTTCAGAAATAGCTGAACTGTGTAGTGTGCAACAATTATTGGTGTTGTCTCATTCAAAGGAAAACAATTAATAGTGGAGGTTTTGCTGCTATCCAACACTAGACTGTTCTCCTTAACTGTTGTTTCTTGAAAATGCAGCCAAGTTTTTATAGTATTCATGTAAGGAATAAAAATGTTTGGTTTTAGAACTCAGGTTTTGATGTGATTGTGTTTATCAATTTATATAATTTCTATGAAAAGCAGTAAAATGTGACTGTAAAGTTCATGCACAATAAATGCAACCAAGGAAGAGTGTGAATTCTGTCATTTCTAGGCTCATGTACATCTGGTTACAACAGGCAATCTGTGCAGATTTTTTCTATTACAGTGAAGTTCTCACAGCAGTATTGGCATTTAAAACTAGCAAAACTAGCCAAACAAAGATAGCTGTGCATTTGTTTCGAAGCTTTGCATTTAGTTTTATTCTCTTTTCTGGGTAATTTTTTTTCCATCATGCCTCAGATTTTCCCTGCTAACTGATGTTTCTCTGCAACAGAGAAATAGGCTACATAGTGTAGCATAACAACTTACTGTATTTTGAGGTAATTTCTCAAATCTTCCACTTCCCTTCCTTGACTCCTTAAGGTAAAACTTAAATCAACCAGTTGTGTTGCTTTCTGTGGAATGTGGTAGCTGGAAAGCAAAGTGTGGGTTGCTGTGTGAGAACATTCCCATCTTCTGCCCTTTAATTGTGGCTTTTCATAAGTACACAAATGGTAACTCAACAACCACTTACCCCTTGCTCCAGTTTTATATCTTCATCATAACCCTAACTCTGTCTCGTTTTCTTAGTATCTTTAAGCTTTTTCTTTGAGGTGGCAGGGGGAAGGCTTTTCACATTTGTATGGGCTCCAGCTAGGAGCTGGCCCTCTTTACTATTCACACCTCTATACTGTGGCCCTGGTAGAGCTACAGTGAGTTGTCAAGTAGGAGCTACTGGAGCAGGACAAGAACATGCACAGCTGTGTGTGTCAGTCCCAAGGCCCTTGTCTGCACCTGTGCAGGCCAGCCTTTGTCTTGCTCAGAGGCAGAAATACTCCTCAGCCCCCTGGGTTCCACTGGTGCTGCCTGCCCAGGTTCATGATGTGGCACTGCTGGGTGCTGCCATGGGCACCTACCTCCTCCTGCTGGCCAGCCTGCCCCTGGCCTGCAGAAGGGAACTGCAGAGCTGCTCAGGAAGACTGTACATTCAGGTGCTTGATATGCAACATGAAAGGGCTGCTGCTGTGCAAGAGAGATGAAGCTCAGCTGTGACCTTGCTGAGTTGTCATGCCACAGTGCTGAAACTGAACGAGTCCTAATTGTTCTGGTTATACTGCGTCTTGCTTATTGGAAACCTCTGCTAGTGCAGGGTTGGGTGCTGGGTTTTGTGGTGGCCAAAGCTGTCTGACCAGCTTTGGAGCAACCCTTGGTCCATATCACCAGTGTTGCAGCCTGGTTCACTGCAGTGTCAGCACCTGTTCCTGGGCTGGGTCTTACTGCCTGAAGTAAAACCCATGGTGTGCTGCACATGCAGTAGGCAGCAAAGCATCAGGTCCAAGTTTCAGGGTGGAGGGAAAAGTACTGCCTTGTGAGCACAGGGGTTTGCACGTGTTCCACTGCAAAGCAGTGCTTTGCTAACCACCATCACAGCCCTTCTTGGGGCATGTGTGGCAAATGTGCACGTAGGTGAATACATGTGACTATGAACAGCTGCAGTGATGTTCTTTATGTAACTACAGCTGCTGAACTGCATTGGTATTTGCAGGTTCATGGTCTTGGTAAGATGTACGGGATTGCAGCTGGGGCAGCAAGAAGATAATAAAAATGAAGGAATGTTTCCTAATATATGTTACAACTGTACATTAAAATAAAAATTAAAATAATGTATTCTGGTTTTTATTATACAGGTATTACCCCAATAGCTTTGTTTCTATAGAAAAACAAGGTATGTGTTTCAGGTTTGGGGAAAGTATTTCATACCACCTAAGAAACATAAAGGATTGGGGGTTGCCCAAAAAATGTTCACTTTGTGGGTTTTTAATAATTTCTGGATAAATTGCTGAACTGTGCTACATATTTTGTACCTATGAAAGAAAAGATGTGATGATATCTTGTGAATACATATCATATATAAGGGAAAAACTCTCAGTATTTCTATTTTGTCTTTCTGAATAGCTCATAGTGGATATTCTATATAAACACTTTAATATTTCACCTCACGAGGGAAATTACTGATTGTAAAAGATTTGAACAGGATTTTCCTGCTTTAAGGTTCTACAGTAACATGCAGTTAAGTGAGCTTCCTCCATGAGTCAATCTAAAAAACATTGCAGCAAGGACCAAAAGGACCTGGGCAGACAACAGTTTAACAGGTAACTCTCAAGAGAAGAGGAAAAGCATCTTCAGGCTTGGAATGAGTTAGGCTCTTAGGCATTCTTTTAGCTCAAGACTCTGCCCTGTTTGTGCTATTGGAGTGTTTCCCACTTGGAACAAATATTTTACAGCTGATCACTAGTAACAAAGAGAAAGGCCATCCGAGTAGTATCAGTATGCTAATTGTACTTGTCCGATGATAGTTGAACATTTGAAACTTATTTACCATGCTAATGTTTCTCCTGATTGATGTCAATATAAATCTTATGTGACCCTTGGCTTTGTGTACAGACACTGAGATATTTATAGCATATGTATGTGGCGCAAGGGAAATATTTCCAGTCTTTATTCTTCTATAATTTCCTTTTTTCCATACTGGAAAGGGAAGAGGTGAATTGTTTATTATCCTTTGGGAACATGCTAAACTGCTGTTTCTCACCAAAGCCTTGCATTTACCTCTTGTTTCCTGTTGACCTGCTGTTACAAGACTTAATGAAACATACTTTAAAATAAAATTTTCATTTTTCCAACGTAACAACTATAAGACAAAGTTAATTCTAAGTTTCAGACTCACGTTTTGCCCTTCAGAATTTTGAGCTCTGATTCTACCTTAGTATCAGGTCTTGATTGTTAGATTGCATCCATGCAAACATCATCAATTCTGATTTTCAATACACGGCAATTTGTATTTGTACAAACTTCCTTTCGGTGTACACTGGTACACACACGAGGAGAGCTCAGTCAATTCATCTGTTGTAGCACTGTGTCCAAATGCTTCACGTTTATATATATAAAAACTCTTATCATGCAAAACTGTTTTTACCACGAGCCTTACATAGCACACATTGTGTGTTTTCAGCTCATATGAAAACTAAGTCCTTTGAAGCTTCCAGTGAAGGTAAAAGTCAATGTAGTGTTGTGCTGTAGTAGGATGCTACTACTCAGCTCTCTTAATGCTACTGTGCAAGGCACAGTAAATACATTTCTTAGAAATGTATTTACAGTATCCAACCTTTAATGAGGGAAGTTACTGCACATTTTAGCTTCTGTTATGCTCCAGACTGCTGCTAAGCTTGTTTTTGTCCTGAAAAAAGACAATTTTTTTAATTTGTGAGAACATTCAGATTTCATTCTGAGAGGTAATTATAAATGTTGCTTGTTCTAGGCTCAGAGACAAAGCATAGTGTGGTTTTGTTGTAATCCTAGTGGGGTATCATGATGTCATGTTAAAGCATGCTATGATTATACCAACCAGTAGTTTTAAATTAGCGTTCTTTGTACATGACTTTTATCAGCATTTTGCATTTTGAAAAATGTTAGGAAGATTTTTCCAAGAATACCTATGATTTATTTGTGTCAAAAATTGAGTAAGAAAAATTTTTACACACTGATTCCATACACATCCATAGGAAAACTAGGCAAATTCTCCATTTTCTTTAAATGCATTGACTTTGACAGCTGAAGAAAATAGATTTTGAAAAGTGTGCGGAGTTTATTTAAAATGAGATATTATTTGAAATGCATACTGTCTTTGTACAAAATATACAATCAACCAACCAGTTGATAAACATACCTATCAAAGATCACAATCAATGTCTTTTTCAAAGATTTTATGGTATCAGCATGTCTTAAAGAACAGACGTTTAGAATAATTTTGCAGACTGACAACAGGCTTCCTCTGTGAAGGCACATGCGTATATAGCTTCTTATTAGATACATTATGTTTTTCTTACAATTTTATCAAAGTTAATTGAATAATTATGGTTATATAAAATATCCAGTGCCACATTAGATCCATATACTCATATATGACATAACTGTTAAACAGCTACTCTTTTCTTGCTTTCCCACACTCTTTACCTGTACTTCTAAACAGAGATAGCCATTGATACGGATGAAAGCCAAGTTAAATAAATAATTTAAAAAATATATTAAGCCTCTTTGGAAAACTGCTTTTTTTTCAAGACTCCCGAAGTTTACCTGCAGGACTGTTTGTTGGTATAGACAAGTTTGACCGTCTTTTTATGATAGTTTTCCACAACTCCTGAATAGGGTGTGATGTTAATGTTTTTGGTTTTTTCTGTATGCAGAGAAATTTGAAACTCCTATTAAGTTCTGGGAGTATGAATTCAATTACGTTTTCAAGTTCTTAGAGATAAGGGATTACATATAGACACTGATTATGAAGTTTCAACTATCCAATTTTCTTGATTGCTGTTCTTTCATTTATTAGAAATTATGTGTTGCAAGAAGAAAATTTTAATACTGGATTTAAACCATGACAGTATTGATCTTTGCTCATCTTTATACATTTTAAAAAAAAATAATGACATTTCAAGTCTAGTGCAATGACTTAAAAATCTGGATATATGTTGTATTTTAAGGTTTGTTTTAGTTGTGCTAATGAAAGGGCTACTACATTTTCTTTTATATATAGGTATGTAATTTCTGCTGATATAAAAAGGAGATGTGAAACATGTATTTTTAAGAACAAAACTCAAAAGTTAAATGTCTTGTTGACCTACAGTGCTGAAAAGAACAGCCTGTTTTGTGTCTGAAATTCTCATTCATTGTAGTGCCATGTTCAAATATCCCATTCATTTAAATTACAGGAATAGAGTACTACACAACACTTGATCAAACAAAGGTTTCTTTTCAATGGTCTATTTTTATTCTCTATTTATAATACTGCAGTGGGTATTTTAGGAAAACTACTAAGCAAACAGCTCTGTAGTACGGTTTTAACTGTCTGGTTTGGCAGCCCAGTTTAAGAGAACAAATGATAGGCTTTGCAGTAACAGCTCATTAGACAGGAGGATGGGCTTGACCTTAAGGCCTGACTTAGGAGATCTGAGTTATCAGTTTTGCATGACCCTTGGCTAGTCTCTTATCTTTGTGTGCTTCAATTCTCTATGTACAGAATGAGGAATAATAGTCTCTTTGCTTTCTTATATTGTAAACTCTCACTATGCTTACTCTATGTGAAGCCAGTAGGACCTGCTGACTTTGGTACTATTACAGTAACACATTCTATGTTATTATTAAGGTAATTCCATAAAGATGTAATGTTAGGCGTTAAAACACATATGTATATATTATTAATATATAAAAGTATAAACCAAAAGTGGACACAGTTCTGTGCTGGAGTCTGACATGATTTCACTCTAAATACTGCCCTATATACAGGCTGAATTGAGTAGTTAACAGCACATCCAGTTTCATTCAGTCTGAACATTACATACCATTATGAGTCCCCTTGGATGGATCCTTCCTTCTTAATGCCACTGGAACCCCAGCTCAGGTTTGAGTTTGACTTGGTCTTTAACTTTCACTAGTCATTAGGAGAGTCAAGGAATTTACATCGAATGATTCAACCCGGTAAGTTTCATGTACATCCTCCATCACCACCCTTCCCCCACCCCTTCCAGGTCCGGCAGAATGTGACAGACAGGATTGCTGAAGATGGAACTGTGGGGGCTGCCAGGTCAGCTGTTGTCGATCTGGACTTATGACTAATTTAAATTCTCTATCTGTTTAACTGTTGCTCCTTTAAAACACTGAAAAGTCCATTATGAAATTGCTAGGGGAGAAAAAAAGGAGAGAAATAGTCATTAATGAGAGATTTGGTAGTCTAAATTAGTTTCATATGAAACAGAATATGTTATTTATGAAATACATGGGTGAAATTTGGAGTAATGTTTCTTAATTTGGAAATTTCAGCTACAAAGTTTAAGGGAAAAAAAAAACCACAACAAAAAACCCCCAAACCAAAACCAAGAAGGCTCCTAATATAAAATTTTCTTTCATTTTTTCGTCCTGTGTTTTGTCTATGTAACTGATAAAAAAAATCAAGTCCAACTCTCTCCTCATTTTAAGTGTTGTGAGAGGCTGCTATGCTCATCCTGAGTTTCCAACCACTAGTTGAAATTCACGCTTAAGGGTCCGTCCTGTTTGCATCTGCAAATAGCTTTATCCATATGCACAACTCCACTGAGATCAATAAGATTACTCATGTGAGTCAAGTTACCCAGGCATGTAAATATTTGCTGAATTAGGACTAAAAGTGGAAGGGAATGTAGGTGGTAAATCCTCCCTAAGATAAAGGAGCTGAGCACCCACAATGATGACTCGAGAGTTCAGGTGTCTGTTACCCCTTACTCCCTAGTCAAGCTTTACTGAGTTCTAAACAGCTTTATAAAGCAGAAGCATCTTTAGCTAAATGTCTACAAAATGTGTTATGAATTAGTAAGTACACTGTTTTGCTTTGTTATTGACTTTTGTTACAAGAAATCAACTCCCCACAGAAAAGGAAATAACCCTGCAAATACCTTTTATCTTGATATTCTGTAGGGAAAGTAATTCCAGTGTAACTGCACATGTATAATGCAGCTACTGCAGTCTCAAGCAAAATGCATTCAATTATATGCGGTTTCAGAACATATAAGAGAAAATGAAAATGCTTTCTACACAGACAATTTCCAGATATGGATGCTGAATCGGAGGAAAAGGGAGTTAAATTTACTTTTCTTAGGAGCTGAAGCAAATAATTCAGAATCGATTCAAGAAGTCTCTGGGCCTAAATTCCACTGTCCCTCTGTCCATTCAGTCTCTGCCTGCTGAGAGAATTGATCTGATTGCTTATCTTTTTAGGTATCTGCTTAAACTGATGATGGAATCTCATTTAATCTGTCTCTTGTCTAAATGTAGCAGTGAGAAGACATGGCATTCAGTAGTAAAGCATCCTTCTGGCATGTCCTCCTTTATACTTGCAGCTTATTTCTGCCACTTGGTATGCAAGCCCATCTCAGATTAAATTTAAAATATGTTCATCTTTTTTTCAGCTTCACAAACTTGCCAGTTTACTATCCTATATGCACATTCCACGTGATTATAGGCCAGCACTATAGAGTGGAATGGTACCTTTTCCATGGCTATTTGGCGAGTGGCGTAGGCTCTTTTCACCAAGGCAGTTTATGCATTGACAAGATCCTTGGTATAGAGTTGTTAAAAGTTTGAGTTTGGTCTCCTTTTCGCTGTTAACCACGTAGTAAATCAAAACATCTTGGCTCTACAGAGCGCAGGTTCTGCCATCATTTACTTAGCATGCTGTCATGCCTGGGGGTACAACATTATTTTAATATATAATGAGTTTAGAAGATGCAAAACTACTGACTACATGTTTTATTCATTCTTAAATTGCAAGAGCCCTGGTTTCCTTTTGATGCCACCCTATTTGCATATGCTACCTGTGTGCTTCTGCAGTCACTTAGTATTTGAATGTATATGCCCTCATCAGCTATAAAGCATTAATGTTTTGCACTTGTATAGCCTTTCATCCAAGGAGCTCAAAGTCTTTTGCTGACAATGATTAAGAATTACAGTCCCCTTTGAAGTGGGTGAATGCTACTACCTTCATGTTACTGATGGGCAGAGTGAAGTGACTTCGCCCTGCATCTAACACGAAGGAAGTGTCAGTGCTTGAAGCCCTGGAGCATCCTCTGCAGCTGCCGCTTTGTGCAGCCCTTACACTAATTACACTCTTTGCCCCGCAGCTTCGCCAACAGCCTTGGAGGGCAGCGTTCGGCCCGTTTAGCGGACTCGGTTGTTGTTCACCCTGCCTCACGAAGGCATTTGCGCGGGGGGGCGGTGGCCTGGAAGAGGGACAATACGGCGGCCGACGGGACCCGCGCACCGGCCCCAGGGCAGCGATCGCCCCGCCGGGGCCGCTCGAAAGCCCCGTTTTCAAACCAAACGAGGGAAGCCCGGATGCAATCACACCTGTGGCTTGGCTTGCTTCCTCCAGTGCCTCGTGCACTGTTCCGAATGGCAGGTGTGAGTTCGGAAAGGTGCTCGCTGCGGGGAGCGCTCCCGGCCGCAGACGGCACACGCGGATTTACCTGGGCAGGCTGTGGCGGGGGTTCAGGGGAAGGGCACCCTAGAGTGGAGCGGCATGCAGCGCCGGTGGGAGCAGCCGTGCCGGTGGAGCTTCCTGCGCAGGGCCAGGTTGGCTGCGGAGAGAAGGACGGAGGGAGGGAAGCACGGCGTGAGGGGCGGCGGCCAGCAGTGTGCCCCGGCAGTTGCGCCGCGGAGGCAGCCGGTGTTACCTTCCCCGGGACGGCAGCCCCGGCCCCACCGCTCCGCTCACCGAGAGCTACCGGTGCCCTCCCCTGCCCACCCCGTGCCGCCAGTGCTTCCCTGTAGCAGGTCTACAACAGCTGCTTACCTTGCGTCCCTATTTATCCCAGCCCCCCCTCACCCCCGAAGTTGCCAAACTCCTGAGATACCTGAAGCATCCTCTCACGCTGCCGCTACACGTAGGGATGAAGCGCACAGGTCGATGCGCTAGGCAGAAACTCATCTCGCGAGTAGAAACGCGTGTTGGGCGCGATGAGAGAAACACGCCGGAGGTGCCCACGGTAGGCACGAACCCCACGCTCCCGTCCCGCCACATCCATCACGCTGAGGCATCGCCTACCTGGCCGCTGTCCGGAGGCTGGGAGGAGGCTCGCCAGGAGCAAAAACACGGTCCAAAGGAGTAGTTGGAGTCTCATGTCTGCAGTCAGCGCAGAGGCGAGCTGAGGGTGTGCGTATGTGTATATAGGCGAGGAAATGTAGGAACAGCCGCTCGCGGGGCTGGAAGGGGGCCGGCAGCGCGGCAGGAGCCCCTGCCCGCTCACATGCCAGTGACAAGCCGGGGAGCCAGAGCCAGCCGCCTTCACTAGCAGAGTTAATTATCAGGCAGGGGCAAGGTTCCTGGATTGCACTGCGATCTGGGCCTCTCTCTTCTCTTCTCCTCTCCCTTCTCTCTTTTTTTTTTTTCTGTCACTCCCCCTTATTTTCCATAAGCAAACAGCGCAGGAATGAAAAGCCCGTGTAAACAGCAGCTCCTGTCAAAGCGTAAGGGCAAGGAGCCTCTCGAACAATGCGGCCGCTTCACTTCAAATTCAAGCCGGGCAGGAAAAAAACATATGTAAAACAAGCCCCGATGTTCCCTCCCCCATTTGCAACTGTTTAAACTTTACATTGCCCATATTGATCCCACATGCAGACAGCAATGGCAGGGGCAGGAAGTGTCCCAGCGACCTTTGTTTCCACCTCTCCCCCCGAAAGCGGGGGCAGGGAAACCCCCCCAAGCATGGCCCTCCTCGCAGCTCAAATGCTTTCTGTCTTCTCTAAACTAGCTGCGAATTTGTGGCTATTCAAAGTGCTACTGACAGTAGTTAAGGCTAATGGGTGTCTTTTGTACCCTCCATTATTTTTAAAGGATCAGAATATTCGGGAATTAATATGTGAGATTTTTTTTTACCGCGTGGGGTAAAACAGATGTATCTGTTCCAGCAGTGCCAGTTTGAGGGTAGCAGTTTTGGATGGGACATTGGTTTGCATAACCCACCTGTACATTGCAGTGTATTTGTTCTAGACCATGGTGAGAGCTCGCTTTATCAAACCACGCTGAAAACGGCTGGTGCAGATACCCAAGCCTGAAGAGAAGAATGGCAAAACTTGCAGAATGTGGGAGCAGCAGTGATGGCATTGAAATTCAGTGAATTACTGGCATCAGTTGAAATTCGACTGGTCCTTTTCTTATTTTCAACCTGCTGATTTCTTGTGATGGAATAGCACCTAGTGATTTGAAAAAAAAATTAAAATTTGTCCCTTTTTGGGAAAAGTTTCTGTTTCAAAATATGCAGGAAAGAGTAAATTTCTGTATAGATTAAATACTACCATCAGTAATAGATAAGTATTATTGAAAGTTTTATGAAGTTGTTATTTGCCTAATTTCTTAAAGAATGGAATATATAATTGGTGTTGTTTTGTTGTTTTATTGGGATTTTTAAATTCAATTATCCCTGTATTTTTTCCTTTAAAAGTCTATTTAACTTAATAGTGCATGCTAGTTCCTCCTCATAGAATTATACATCATTAGTGAGCTACTTAATTTGTCTAAGTAGAGTATGTCCATATGACTTAAAAGACAACTTGCAGCATGAATACATGGTGAAAATAGTTATTAAATGTTGTTTTGAAATGATGTCAAGACTGTTGAGGAAGGTGTCTCAGACAAAGGAAAATCCTCTGGCAAAGGAAATCCTCTGCTGGTTGATCACATTCGTTCATCATGAGCAGCAGACGCTTCCCAATGTTCTTCTCTACAGCTTGGTGGTCATTAAGTTTTCTCTTTAGGATCTCTTACCTTTAAACTAGACTTCTCTTTAATATTGATGCCACTAGCTCAGCTGAAATCAGGGTCCCATGGTGCCAGTGACAGAACTGTCATAAATAGAGTATAATTTCAAATACAAAGAGAAAGAGTGCTGTGGCCAAATCACATAACAAGTTTGTGACAGAATCAGAGTTACATCCTCAATATCCTAAATTTTCTGGCTCCACCAGGACACATTTAGGAATGTGTTCTGTTGCTCACCGTGAATGAGAACACACTGACAAAGTTGTTCATACATCCCTGCAAATGATGATCACTTTCATTCAGCAGTCAGCTAAGTAAGGTTCAGACTCATAACCCTAAGGTGGAAAGTAATACAGACTTCAAAGTGATAGAGACTCTTTAAATAGCTAAAAGGCAGAAAGAATGCATAGACTGCTGTCAGTCCCTCGGGCTATCTAGGCCTCTTCTGCACCTGGTCAAGTTTACCAACATTCTGAGGAGACATTAAATTTTAAAGGAAATTGAGTAAGATACAATAGTTAAGTGCAATATTTATGTCTCTTTTTTTGTAGTTTGTTTACTAGTTCCACTGTTACCCTGTGCAAAAGTTTACAAAGGGTTATTTGACTGATAAAATCTAAGCCACTATAACTATAGTCGCTATAACCAAGTCACTATAAATCACATATTTATCGCAATTTTCATGTAACCTACAGTAGTAATTCGATGCTTACCCACTGAAGAAATTTCTAAAATGTATTACAGCCCTGCTCTAGAGTTTGTAGTTCTTTTGCAAGCAGCTTTCCTTCAGGTACTTATTTTCAAGTGGCATACTGCTGCTTGAAATTAGGCAAATAACAACTAGTCAATGTAGTGATGTAATAGTTCTGCCTTTTTCACAGTATTTGCTGGTGGGTTTTGTGTTGGCTTAAGAGGAAAGGGAATGTAAAGTATGTAGGAAAGCTGGAGGTCTGTAGATAATGCTTTATGAGCTAGAAGAATTGGTTCTTTGAATCAAAAGCTTCCCTTCTCTTGCAATCTGAAAGGAACACAAAAAAGGAATGATGATTTCAGCATTTATCACCTATATCATTGCTACTTTTCCAACAGACATTCTGTTCCCTACTTCCTCTTTGATAGGATCAAAATAGTCAATTTATCAGTTTACATGCAGAAAGCAAAAAAAAAAATACTTAGTATATTGCAGAAATAATTTTAAAAGTTGTGAAAAGGAATATTTAGAAGTGCCTTTTCTGAATATCAAACATTAACTATAAGTAACACACATGGCATTATCTTCTGCTTAACACATTCCAGTAAGTACGGTATCACTTCACTGGATAGAAATTGTTCTGTGTTACATTTTCAGTACAGAGTGACTGTTACAGTCTTTTTATTTGGGGAAAAAATAATTTGAAATCATTGTGCCATTTCTAATAATAAAACTGGAATAAAGGAAAAGTCACTGAGGGAATATCAAATTATTTTGTCACATACAGAAAAAAAGTATTTTGATAAATGAGAGAGCTAGTCACTGCAAGAACAAAAGATGAAATAATGTGAAGAAACAGTAAAATTCATAGTACTAAGAAGTAGAATAAGCAGAGTTGCATGATAACAACAGGCAAGAAAGATAAGTGGGCACTTCCTAGTGTGGAGTAAGAGATTAATTAGCATTCCCTATTGGGCTGCTAGTTAGAAAAATTGAATCCTACCTTTTCTTTCAAGGCCAGCACATGACTATAAGCTATAGTGTTTATTGTTAATATTTGAGAACAGCTCTCAAATGCTATCAGTATAAAATGTTAAGTGAAGCCTCTCAAGTACAGGAATTAATTGTTATATATGGCAATACTGGTTTCATCCCTGTATCACAGATATCCCCTTGAATAATAGTTCTTCCCCTGCTAGTGGCCTGTAAAAATATATTGATCATTGTGGATCTCTACTGTTCTATAAGAAGACATGCGGAATGCTCAGCAGTGATAGTAACTGATAGTAAGTGAAAATTGTTAATTTTGACTTGGAAGTGTCATATCTCATAGATATAACATCAGAGTTTCTAACCAGATTTTCTAACTTTATGTTCCCCAAATTAATCCATCCTGCTGATCCAGAAGAATTATTTCACTAACCAGACAAGATCTGGGATAAAAACCTTTACTTCAAAAGAATTTGGTGAAGCACATCATCAAGTCCAATTGCAAATATCATTAGGTAAAATTCTAGGCTTTTCCTTGTTCCTTTCTATTACATTGCAAGATGGTATGTCATCTGTGCAACAGACAAAATAGAAAAATGCAAAAAGATTATGTAAGTTGCTGTTTGAGGGGAAAAAGTTGGTGAAGAATTACTCAAGGGGGTAAATTTTGAAATGCTGTCTAGGCGTCTATGATTTTTTTTTTTAAACCACAAGTTTCACTGGGATTATTATGTCATGGTTTTATAGGGTCTGTGTGCCCGCCACGAATAAAAAGAATGTTTTTTCTTCAGCCCGGGGTACAGCACCAGACGCCAAATATAATGTTTACCTTCTTCATTTACTATAATCATGAAGACTACTTTCTCTGCACAAAACCAATTAGCTCAAAAATTACGATTTTAGGAGAAATCTCTCTTTCTGTCATTATTTTAATCTGTGTTTGGAAATGAAAACCTACTCAAAACCTAAACCCTATTCCTCCTGTTTGGCATTTTATGCTTTTCTGGAAAAAAAAAATCACTTTTCTCCCTATTAGTTCTCAGCTGCCTGGAGGGAGACAGGATTTTTCGGGAAGAAAATGGTGGTCAGCAAGCAGAAAGAATGCACACTGGTAACCTGACACCGGAGACAGATGTACTCAAGGAAAGGAAATGGGGGACATATTAGACTAGGCTAAACCTTGTATAATTTTTTTTTTTATTTTCAGTTTGAGAGGTTTTCCGTGTGTGTGGCAGAGATGCATAATCTAGAAAGTACATTTTTTTAAATTTTAAACTGGGAAGAAAACATGCTGTGTTCATGGCATCATCTCCAAGTTCTTACTGCAGTATAACTAATAATTATAATTATTACAATAATAATAGAAAAGGAAAAACATTTAGTCTGTCTCACTTCTGTAACCCTACAATCTGTAGGGTTGATTTTATTTAATACAATGAAGTACCAGCCATGCACCTGAATAATCATAAATTATGAAGTCCCTCCTAGACAAAAGAGGGCTTCATCAGTTACCTACAGACTGTATTGATGAATTTTCCTTTTTACTTAAGGAAAATACGTTTATGTAGGCTTGAAGGTGAACTTATTTTTCAGTTCCCTTCCATCTCTAACAAGAAAATTTGATTCTAAGATTTATCTAGGGAATACATATACATATTTCTTTTTAATAGGAAAAGAAAGAGGTCAACTCTGGAGCAACAATGCCTGTGATCCCCACCAGTGTGACCACATGTTCTATTTCAGGGAACCCATTTGGGGTCAGATTCCTCTCTGCCGCTGGTCATAATTTCAGAGCTTTTTTAATTTAAGGAGTAATTTATGTTGTCTTGAATTAATGATGTTCAAGGAAAAAAACTCAATGCTTGAAAAGCACAAAGTTCTATAATTAATTTTTATTTGCTTGTTAACTTTCAAATATGTAACTCCCCTACATGGCCAGACCTTTTTTGCCCTGGGTTTCAGCAGCGAAAAATCTTTTAAAAATATATTTTCCGTGTTATAAAGAAAACTTTTGTAAGTGATCATGTAAATAAACAAGTTTGTACCTTTCTGCTAAAGCTTTAACATACTCATTTAG